TTTGAATGCAAAACACTTATTTTTCGTTAAAATGAAACCAAAGCTTTAAATATACACAATTTGAAGCGGAAAGTTGTCATCGAAACTTTGAATATAAAATATTTTCAATTTTGATAAATACAAAATCTTACATCCGGAGGAAAGAAAACCATTCCTTCAGATTTATTGGCGCGAGTTATGTGTCTTTGCTAGAAAAACTGTTCGGTGACCTTTTTTTAAAAAAAAAAACAAACGTAACACAACATATTAAAAAATAGTGTTCCAAATAAATTTCACCTTAAACATCCGTCAACACTTTTATGTTGCGACTGTCACCGGCAGTTATTTGACTAATAATTACTTTAAACGTTGTTATGTATAGACTAGCGTAATGCGAACATGCTCAATAAACAAGAAACAAGTGTAAGTAATACTGTAAACAGCGTGGTAATACATATTTATAGTAAAACATATGACCACTGTGACAAATAATAATCAATGTCGACCATAGAGTTAAGACCAAACTTTCATCTCTCAAACATCTTTAACCAAACAATGGCTATGTATACTTTTAAGGGTTTAACAGATGTTTTTTTTTTTTATCGTAGTAGTGTTACTTAAAATTACACAATGTATGAATTATACGGTAAAAACATTACAGATCCTATTCCTACCGATTTAATAATTACATTGACTTGTAACGAATTTTTATCCAAGAGTAATGTTGACGTTTTCCACGATTCCATTTGATTTCTGTTTTTAACGATAGAGAGTTATAAACATTTTCTATCCAATTTAAAAAGACTTCGTACGGTAATCAGAATTGTCATTCGGAAAATACTAACTATTGTTATCTACACACATAGAAACCTACACAATTAGAATTTTGTAAACAACAAAGTAGAATTTTACATTCTGATACTTTTCTAATACCTTGGACTCTAATATTAACACACATAAAGTAACAAACAAATTATGAGGCTGTGTGAATTCAGTTGAATATGATCTATGAATATATTCATCATAAGAATATAAACATAAAACCTTCGCGACTAAGTCTGCGCCTAGAGCGAGGACCCTGGACCTTTTCTCTACTTTTTACGTAAGAAAAGGGCGCAAACAAGCTGCGGGAACACAGAAGTGGTTAACGACGCCCATGGACATCGCAACACCAGAGCATTACAGGCCTTACACGGTAAAATGTTGGTTTTTGATTTAATCACATTTATACTGCGTTTTGTAATGTAAAATACATACTCGTAGGTTACCAATATGCAGAATTTACATGGTCAAATATAATTATGATTTAAAAATAATAGATAGAAATAATATAAAAATCAACAACTTTATTAATAATAAAAAACGCTTATTCATTATTTAATAAATGGCACCACATCCATACTCAATGGCGGGCGCACCCCAATTGGCATATCCGTAACCGTTGCCCATTGGAGCATAGGGGCCAGCCCATCCCATACCAGCGGCCATCGGCATGACATCTTCACGCATCATACCCACGTTTCCATTACCACAGCCGTAAGAAATAGTACCAGTGCCAGCAGTGGGTAAAGCTCCTTCCAGGCCAACGGTACCTAAGAATGGTAGCTCACCACCAACCACAAGGAGACCATCAATTGCGTTTTCTGACATCAAAGAGACGCCGTAAGGTGGGATAGGTGAGGCGCTTGAGATGACAAATCCACCGCCGTATGATGAAGGGATAGCTGCAAGATCGTAAGCCCCCAGGAACGGAATAGGTCCGGCACATGGGGCAGCCATCAAAGGAGCTTCGTATCCCTGACCAGCCCAGGCCACGTCCCCGGCAATGCCATTAGACCATGCACTATTAATGCAGTATCCAGAAATTGACTGTGAAAGAAAAATAACTCATTGAAACAACATTATTTCATGATCACATCGGTAAAATCAAGGACATGTAAATTTGAAATTGACTAAATTCCAAGTAGAGGCTGGATGATGTCCTTTACTCAGATTTTATATGGATATTTTACTAAATAAATAGATAATTACCTGAATAAGAATTACTTGAGCACAGAATAGAAACAAAGTCTTGGAAGTCATTGCTTTTTCTTGATGAAATAACTAATTAATACAATAGTAATATTGGTATGTGAATGATTGACAATTTACAAGCTCGAATTATTTATACTAAAATGAATAGCTTATCAAACATTTCAAACAGTTACAAGCATCGTTACTGCAAAGAATTGCATAAAATTACAGCATAGTAAACAGATAATAACAACGAAAATAATATCAAAATGATGCAGCAATGTCATAATATTGAATTTTCAATTTGGTAATGTAAACCATAAGAATAATATTTTCAAATAAAATTGTATAGAACTTTACACAATAATTTAAGCCAATTTTATGTTTTATCTTGTTCGAGTACGGTCTCATTAAAAAAGGCAATGAAAAAGCAGATTTTTTAATGAACAAGATCACGTATATAGCCAACAGAAAGAAACTTGTACTACATGCCGGAGCCCTAATACTGTGTTAGAAAATTTTCAGGAAATCATGATGATGATGATGAGTTGGGTATTTCATGGGGAATAGGATTGACTTCATCGTAACATTACATTATTTTTGTGTCCCTCCTTTTTAATCTATGATTTTAATCTTTGATAGTATACAATAATTCAAGAATCGAAAGCATAAAATAATTGCAGAAACATTCTATTACTACCATTAGTCGCAACATAATGTTGACACCATATTAACTAATTTAATCAATTATGAAATCTTTATAACAACATATATAAAATTTATACAGGTATAAATACAACTGCTAAATTGGAAGAACACATTCAGTAACTAACTACAACGTACAATGTCTTCGTTCACTTTCTTATTATTCTGCTCTGTAGCTTGCTATATTCAGGTAAAATAACACATTTCTATTTATCTGTCATACAGTTAATACGTGAATTATTAAATATATCGTATTTTTATTCTTAATTGTTTTTGATGGGATCTTAAATTGAATTATTTCGTTTCAGAACACATGTGGCCAATATCTAGGAGCCGCACCTGGTTTAGGATTAGCGCCTGCTCTAGGACTTGAAGCGGAGCTCCCTTGTGGTCCCGGATTAGCCGCAGAAG